AGAAATGTCTGTCTATCTCCCATCTTCAAGTAATCAGCAAACAGCCAAAAGTCAAGGTGTGGCTCAAATGATAGAGTGCCAACCTTGAGGAAAAAATCTAAGCAAGAGTACAAGGCCCCGAGTTCAACCTCAGTACCACCAACACAACCAAAGCAGAGAGGTGAGAGGCAGAGGAAATTATCTAAGGTGACAAAGGACCACTGATGGTAGCCTGAAGGAAAGGAAATGAAGATTCCTGAAAAAATAAAACTAGGTTTTTCAGATACATGAATTAACCTCTATTTTTCCTGGCTGTCCAGGGCTCGTGAGTCACAGGAGAAAACTCTTGAGTATCATGTCCAAAAAGATGCCCCGAATGTCATGCCTTTGTGTTTGTCAACATTTGTTATCAGATACAAGGCATGCTCTGGGTCGAAACACTTGTCCCTTTGAAGAGAACAATGGTGCATGTGCGTGTGTGCATGCGTGTGTATGTGTATGTATGTTTACCTGGGTGCCAGGGTTCCTGGGGAGGGCCTTTTCTACCTTCTTATCCCTGTAGGATAAGAACTGTAGGATCCTAACTCCTAAAGCCTTGTTGTGACACGATTTTGGAGTTATTAAAGCTGTCCTAAATAGCTTACAGTAGAAACCAGAGATGTATAACACTTATGATTTGATTTTACATGAAAAAGGGGGAAAACCTGTACATGTAAATAAGATCATACAATGTAAATCGCAAGTAAAATACCAGGATATATCTGAATGTTATAAAATGTTTACATACACCCCTCCACATGCATTCCTATCAAATCAGTGTAGATTAAAAACCATTACTAGCAAGTGTGCAAGGTGAAATGGGCCACCACTTTATAGATGCCGATGTGGAACTATATATGAAGAACCTTACAAATGGTTGTACATGTACTCATGGTCCCTTAGGAAGTGCTATGCAGGAAGACCCAGGTATGCAAGGCACATGCATGTACCAGTTGTGCAAGGCACATGTGTACCAGATGTGCAAGGCACATAAGTGTGCCAAGCATGCAAGGCACATATGTGTACTAGGTACGCAAGGCACATGCGTGTACCAGGCACACATGGACACACACATGTACCAGGCGTGCAAGGCACGTACATACATGTACCAGGCATGCAAGGTACATACGTGTACCTGGCTTGCGGGGAACAGATCCAGAAGGGAAGGTATAAAACACCAATGGAATTCAATAGAACTGACACAAGAAAATAGGAAACAAGCTCAGTTAACCTAACAACTCTTAAAACAAACATAAACATTCAGAATCAAATGAGGCAAGAGTAAAGAATTAGGTTAAGCAGACGATTGAAAGTTTCTGCCAAATAGCCACAGATAGCCTTACAGATACTAAATTTTAGCTGTGTCCCTTAAACACTATTCATTTCTGATTAAATTTGCTGTGTTACAATACCACATGTGAGAGAGCAGATTACAAACCAGGATTTTAAATACAGGGAACTCAATTTTAAAGAGTCATTTAGATGATGTAAACTCAGAGCTAGCAAATACTTCCATTTCTCACCCAGGAAAGGACATGCTGTTTCGCGGATTAATGTTCAGGTTTGGGAGGTCAATGTAAATTAAAATTTCAAAACACATTAGTGAAGTGGCTGCCTCTTCCTGAACTGCGGGCCTCACAGCTTGGTCCAACAGTGCAGGCGCTGAGCTGACAAGGCCACAGAAGCCGCTGTTGGGCCAGCCGCAGGCCTCGCCCGCTGGCTGAGCCAGGGTGCCCAGCGTGCAGGCCTGAGCCCCGTCCAGGCCCAGATGCCCGGGAGGCACCGCACTCAGCGAACGCCACACCTCGCTACCTCAGGTCCAAACAGCAGAGAAAATAAACTAGGCGTCCTTACAGGACTGAGCGTTAGGAAGATGCAGGTCATGAAGAGGGCTGTGACATTTTCACTGTGTCTCAACCCGGTCACATGCCCATTCACAAAGGTCTCCCAGTAAATAAAATGGAATATAGGCAAACCCCCAGAAGAGGCGGCCTGGGACACATCTAGCCAGGAGGCATGGGATGGTGGCACAGGACCTTTTGTATTTTCTACTTACTACGAAACATTTTATTATCATTATGACAACTGGTATTCAACAGCAACAAACTGAAGGAGTTTAAGACCCTAATTTTGCATATTTAACACTTCTTGGACTGAGGGCCATTACTTTGTCCTACGTGCCAGATACATTTCTATCCTCTCTTCAGCGCAGCCCCATTCCCAGGGTGGAGCTGACCACGCCACCTGTAGACCTCCCACCTTTCTTGAAGCCTGCCACGCTGTGCCAAGTCTCTGTCTCTGTCCTTCTGACCCCCAGATGAGGATGAGGGGTTGTTCTAGGGTAAGGATTATGTTTCAGTGACCAGAGTCCCTGGGGCTCAGGGATGAGATGAAGAACTCAACAGATGTAGGGATGCCACGTAGATACAGACTTTAAAATGCCCCGTCGCTGTGACACGCACATGTACATTTGTCAGCTGAAAGTTATTTCAAGGTGTGATAGGTCAAAACTGAGCTAGTAGGTGTTCTGGATTTTGACAGGAAGCATCTAACACTTTTTTTTTTTAATAAAGGAAGTTCAACAAGTGTTTGTTGGCTTACATAAATAAATCCACAGATCGACGTGATGAGAGAGGAGGGAGATGGAAAACTAGTTGGTCACAAGTTGACAGTCACATATAGGAATTGTAGCAGTCAGGGACACCAGATTTATGGCACACACTATTTCTATAACAAATAACCGCTCAATAAATAATTCTTGAAATACATGATAATGTAATATAACAAAGTAACAGACTTACATAAAAACTAAAACTAATACCAAGTTCAGGGAACAAACAGTACATGTTTTCTCTCATATATGGAAGCTAAATCTAAAATACAACTGGACACGGTAACTTATACAGAGCTCTAGGCATCCACATGCAGACCAAAGGAGGATACTCTTAGGGGACCAACCCACAGGTGTAACTCCTCTGAACATTTAAAATACTATTTATCAGAACAATTTCTGGAAAATGGAAACGTGTTTTTTTGTTATTGTCGTTTTTGTTAGTGGTGGTGCTGTCTTTGCTTTTGGGGTCTTGTCTTTTCGGGGGGGGGCAAAAGGGAAGTGCAGAAAGAAACAGTGAACAAAAACAGTGATGTATCCAGTGTACCCTATGTGGAAAATGAACTATGTAACTGATAGGCAGGGACAGGAAGGGGGTAAAGCAAGGAAAGGGGTGACACTGTCTAAAAAGAATTGTATGCATTTCCTAACTTATGAAACAGTAACCCTTCAGGACCATATACCGTCTAATAGCAATGAAATTACACTGAAGTTAAACTTAGTGAATAATTTTGGTAATTATGGACTATAAAACTTTTCTCCTCCCGTGGGCTCAGTACCAGTTCACCTGACACAGAAATCTCACTCATGTTTTGGGAGGAAGCCAGGCCAGCAGACCCAGGAACCCATGCACCTTCCGGAAGGATCCGATGCCTTCCTCAGGAGACCCTGGTCTCAGCGGGATGCTCGAGGGCTGTGTGTCCCTTGCCGTGGCCGTTTCCCCTGCTGCGTCCAGGTATTATCTCTTCACCTGTGTCATGCAGGCAGGAGGCCTCACGTGCCATAAGCCAGGCTGGCGGGCCTCAGACCCCAGCTTTTCTCACCCCTTCCCTCCTAACCATGGTCATTTAGAGCACGCGGAGTGGGCACCTCCCGTCTTTAACAGCACACAGCCATTCAGAAGGGAAAACAGCACCTTAGAGGAACAGAAATTCTAGAAATTCCTGCAGAAACAGGAGACCTGTTTTGAGAACACAGGGTGGAGGTGAGCTTTTTGCTGGAGGAAACCAAGGCTATTCCTAGAGAATTTCCATGTGCTGCCACCTTGCTGCCTGCCCTTCCAGAGCCAAGCAGCCGCGACACTGAATGCTTGTGACCATGCAACTGATCCGGGATTTCAAAATGCACGCAATATTGGCAAAACAAAACTGGCTTTCTCTAATGCTAAATAATTAAAACAAAAAACAACAAACCAAAAAGCCAATTTCTTTCTTTGGCCAGTCCAGGGGCTTGAACTCACGGCCTGGGTGCTGTCCCTGAGCTTCTTCTGCTCAAGGCTACTGCCCTCCCACTTGAACCACAGCACCACTTCTGGCCTTTTCTGAGTAGTTCACTGCACATGAGAGTCTTTTTTCTTGTTTTTTGGGTCCAGTCGTGGGGCTTGAACTCTGGGCCTGGGCACTGTCCCTCGGCTCTTCAGTTCAAGGCTAGCGCTCTACCACTTGAGCCACAGCACCACTTCCGGCTTTTTTTCTTTTTGCTTATGTGGTGCTGAGGAATCAAACCCAGGGCCTCAGGCATGCAAGGCAAGCACTCTACCACTGAGCCACCTTCCCAGCACATGAGAGTCTTATAGACTTTCCTGCCTGGGGTGCCTTCGAACCATAATCCTCAGATCTCAGCCTCCCGAGTAGCTAGGATTACAAGCATGAGCCACCAGCGCCCCGCCAAAAAGCAACTTCTTTAACAAGGAATTAAAAAGAAAACCAACAACTGAAGTTGCATTAGAGATTGATGAGTATATCTTCAAATACAAAACAGAGTATTTATGCTGTCTATAGCTTAAATGCCTTCCTTTAAATCTTGTTCCAAATTGTTTTTCTTTTAGACAGGTTCCCAAAGTTAGATCATCTCTCATACTTTAAGGAGTGATTCACATTTCTCTGAAGGCCTTGAATACCAGCCTCCCAGGTGACCCTAGGCCCCAGGCAAGACTGACACACTGAACACCACCATGTGCTTGGCTGGCACTCACAGAATCCAGATGTGTACAGAGAACAGCCAATCGGGAAGGAATGTGGCCTCGAAACTTGGATCTGTGTAGCCGCCAAGTCTCCACTTAAGTGTGTGGAGTCCGACCTGGTCCTCCAGCCAGGCCATCTACTGCTGCTGCTGGGCCACGGTCCTTGGGGTGTGCGTGATGTGAGCTTACCTGAATTTGGTGAGACGTGCAAACCGCTCATGTCCTTGGACAGGCCATTGGTTTTGGGGCTGGAGATGGGCGCGCAGGCCGACGTGGCTCGGGGCGGCCTCTTCCCTGGGACTTTCACAGTGGTTCTCAGGAGATCAATCTCTTTACCGTGAACATTTTGCATGTAATCCTGTTCAAAATGTTAAATAGCCAAGAGAGATTAAAAAGTGGACCTTCCACAGTGGAGAACACTAGGCTCTATCAGATGTCATGAGCTGTGGTCCTGTGACCCCGCTACTGTGTGAGGTATTTCCGAGGTAAGTAAGGATTTCGTCTCCAGGGCCTGGGTGCCTTAGCCATTATATTGAAATCTGAGTTTGGTGTCTGTGTCCTGAACTGACCCAGAACTGAAAACACAGGGGAATGGAGCAGATGCTTCACCAGGGGGAACTTAGGAAGCAAGTGTACACACAAATCCTGGATTTTTGGAATTTTTTTTTACCTGCTGGTCCTAGGGCTTGAACTCAGGGCTTGGATTCTGTCCATGAGCTTTTGTGTTCAAGGCTGGTGCTCCACCACTTTGAACTGGCTTTTTAGTGGTTAATTATAGATAAGAGTCTCAAGGACTTTGCCACCTGAGCTAGCTATGAACTGAGATCTTCAGATCTCAGCTTCCTAAGTAACTGGGATTACAGTCAGTCACGAGCCACCAGTGCCTAGCAATACATACACACATACACACATAGAAACTTAGACAGATACATCTACATTCACATATATTTTATGAATTTATATAGTTTTTTGCTCACTGTGGTGTGAACCCAGCATCCCAGTCCCTGACAGGCAGACTTTACTCCCAAGCCACATCTTTAATCATGATTTTTTCCTTCCTTTTTTTGTGCTAGTACTAGGATTCGAACACAGATCCTGGGAGCTATCCCTGAGTTTTGGTGCTCAAGGCTAGTACGCACCATTTGAGCCACAGCTCCACTTCTGGTTTTCTGGTGGTTAATTAGAGATAAAGAGTTTCATGGACTTTTCTGTCTGGGCTGGCTCTGAACCACGATCCTTAGATCTCAGCCTCTTAAGGAGCTAAGATTATATTTGTGAGCTACTGGCACCTAGCTTTGTTTTCTTTTAATTCTTGCCTACTATATGTACACTAGGCTCCTCTTGTACATCCAGGTAAAATTCTGGGGGCTGAACCATGGTTTCTTTAATACTTTTCTGTAGGGAGGACTGGAATTATCTGGTAGGAACTTAGTGTAAACAGTACAGAAGGAGGAGTGGGTATATGAAGGACCAAGAGCACCCTTGAGGGCTGGGTGGGTGTCTGAAAGCGGGCTGTGAAGCAGCAATGTGCACCGTTTGGTCCTTGAGTCCTAGGTTTCTTCAGTTACTACACCAAAGAAGAACTCTCGGTCTTTGCTCCTGGTGGTGCCTGGCTAGTTCCTGGAGGGAAGGAGGCGTACAATGACAGCTGCATTGTTTTGGGGGCTCACTTTCATAAGGTAGGAAGGGGAGAAAGGAAGGACCTGGGGATGAGTGCTCAGGTAGATCTGGGGCTCCAGCCCCTCCCCCACTTTCTTTCTCTCGAGGAGCACAGGTCTCCTTAGCCATGTGTTCCTGCCATGAAGTCCTGGGCTGCCACAGCCTCAAAGGGACAGGGCCAAGTGACCATGGCGAGAGCCTTGAACTCACAAGCCAGCATCAACCTTCTCCCTCAGGAGCTCATTAACTCACAGTGGTGAAGCATCCACTGAAGGCCTATTGGAGAGTGAGGAGCTACTGAGCCTTAGGTGTGTTACATATTAATAGTAACAATGAAAATAATAACATCAATACACTTAATAATAGTCCAGAACACTGGACACAGATACATAATGATCATGATCACATATGATGAGAGGATATATTCAAAATCATTGTTGTGTAAATCCCTTCTCAGAGCTTTAAGCATTAGTAGGAATTGGGCACAACCATCTTGGCTTTGGCAGATTCTTAGTGAATTCCTTTCAGATTTTTACACCCAGCAATTCGTATTTGTTACAGTGTTTAAGTCTGTCAGTGGAGTTTTACACATACACACACACAAAGGAAGACTGGGGAGAGAAGAAGGGGGACAAGGAGAGGGATGGGGGAAGGGAGGAAGAGAGAAAGAAGGAGAAGAAGAGGTGAGGCTGGATGAGGAAAGAGAGCAGGCAGACTGTGAGGTGGGTCTTACTGGCTCCTAGGGAACAGGCCAACAATTATTTCATTTATTTATTTGTTTGCTTATTTATTTATTTATGCTGGTCTTGGGGTTTGAACTCTGGGCCTAGGCAGTGTCCCTGAGCTTTTGTGACCAAGGCTAGCTTTCTACCACTCGAGCTATGGTTCCACTTTCAGCTTTTTGGTAGTTAATCGGAGATAAGAGTCTCCTGGACTTTGCTGCCCAAGCTGGCTTTGAACTGAGACCCTCAGCTCTCAGCCTCCCGAGTAGCTAGGATTACAGGCGTGAGCCACCAGTGCACAGATGATGAGAGGCAGACCTCACCTTGCAGGCCATATGGCTAAGGGGGAAAAACTCTATAAAGTGAGGGTAAAACATGCAGGGAGAGGGGAGACCCTGTGGGAGGCTTTCCAGCCAGCAGCCCTGGGGGGGATGCTGCAGGGTGCCAGTGATTTCCCTGGGATAGACTCCAAGTGGCCGATGGGACAAAAGCCCAAAGAGCCAAGGTCAGAACTAAGAAGAGGAAAATGACTGAAGATGAGGGGAGAGCACCAGGAGGTGTGGCTCCTTTGGGCCAATCTGGAGGCAGGGGTGAGGCTGGAGAGAAGATACCAGTAGGCAGGTCCTGAACCCCCTGGCAGTCACTGAGCTGTCTATCGGGTGTCTGCAGCGGCCACCTTGGAAGAGTCCGAGTGAGGAAGGGAAAGGGGAAGGTGTCTCCAGGTGGAGAACAGGGTTGATGACAAGATGTCTGACTACTCCAACTGTGAAAATAATACTATGACTGTGATCGACTATGAAAAAGGCTGTGGTTTGGGAAGGGTGTGGACCAAAGACGGGAAAAAAATAAATGACCATCATTCAGCGAGGCTGAAGGATGAGGAGGAAGGACACGTGAACATGTGACAGAGGGCGGCACGGGATGGCCAAGAAGGACTCTCCGGAGGGCAGAGCGAGGTGCGCCCCAGCCTCTCTCAAGTTTCAAACCCAAAGTTAATGCTCGTAAATAATGCATTCCTTCTTGCATAGTTACTCCTTTAAAAATATCAACTTGCTATAACTTTCTCCTTTAACAAATTAAAATACAATAACAGGAGTGTAATTGAGCATTTATTGCTTATGAGCTCTAAAATGAGGCTAATCAGAGAGTGACTAAGCCCCAGCGTGGGCTCTTTTAATAGGCATGTCTCAACATACAATAACCAGGATATCTTATTTAAAATTATTATAGAAATGTAGCGAGCCCGCTTTCCGATGGGGAGGCGTCAAGGGAAGACATTTATCTCAAGCTCAGCATGTGCCGGGGATCTGCCACCACTTCAGAAGAACTGGCTCTAAGAAGTCAGGATATCAATTTGTCAATTCCTGTATTTCAAGCCCATGAAAAATGCTAAAAGCTTACAAGATGCAATTCCCCGTCAATGGAAATTCTCAGGCCCAGTGCTGCCTAACAGGTGGGATGTAAAACCCCTGGGGGGGAGGGGGGATGGATTGATGCTCAGAGCTGCTCCCAAGAGAAGCTGCAGGGAGCTCCGCCTTTCTGAAAGAGGTCAGCCTTTCACCCTCTCCCCCATCTTGGTACTTGAGGAATTAAAGCTGCGACCACTAAACAATGCTCCCTCTTCAGAGGCAGAGGAAACGTGCAGACCTGGTTCTGAGGCAGGGGCCTCGCTGGGTAAAAGAAAGACAGCAAGCATGGATTTTGATATGCAAATGATGCAAGATACTACCCCTTCTCCATGTTAGTTGTCGAAAATGCTGATCGCAGATAAAAGAGGGGGAAAAATCCCTTTAACAAGGCACGAGGGGTAATTCAAAGCCAAGTACTTTTAAACAGCACTTAACAAGTCCCCGGGGCCCACTCAGGAGCCAGGCCCCCAGAGGTGCCGTCTCCTGCCCTCAACAGCTTGAAAAAGTAGTAATTGCAAACCTATTTGCATTTTTCTTCTCAAGTTGTCCAGGCTTATCATGCGGGTTATTTATTTATCCCCCCCCCCACGCAGGCACCTGAGCAAAGGGACCCTTCTCGACGCGCCAACGGCGCGCTAACCATGCCTGGCTGTCCCCCACGCGCTCGACTCCCCGCACCTTAGCCATCTCTTGTTTTTTACATCTCGCTCCTAATTATGTTGCATCTATTGCCTTACACTTAATTAGCTGCATTAATGTGATTTCTTTTCACATAGTCAAGCAATTAAGAGCTATGATTGAGTTTCATTCAATTAGCCTCAACAAACATGCTAATTGATATCCCAGATGCAAATGAAGTGCAATGAGAGAAACCTGCTAGCAATCGAGGGCCACGTCAGAGACCTGAAGCTCCCAGCTTGCTGACAGAAGCACAGCTTAACGTGGCTCCCGCCTTCTGTGGGGCAGGCCATTAGTGCCTGGGTGTACCCCATCACTCCTGATAGAGGGATTAGATGATTCGCTGCTGAACGATGTTGTCCTGAAACTTCAGAGCTGTGCATTCCCAGGCCTGGGAGGGGACCAACTGGGTACCACTTTGCTCTGGCAGAGTCCTCATCAACATATGGAGCGAGGCTACCCAGAAACATCCAAGGATTCTTCCCAAAATGACAAAGCCATCCCCTGGCCTTCCCGGAGCCCTCTGAGTGCATGATGGTCTATTCGGTTTTCAGTAAGTGGGGAGTTCATCTTCGTCAGCTCTGGGGCATCTGGCACTTGAGTTAAGCTCAAAATACAGCCATCCATCAATAGTCCCTAAAAATACTCTCACTATATTGATTCTCACAGCCCTGCATGGGCAGGGGGGCACTCCTCTTGGCTATCTGTGAAAGATGGTTTGCTGATGTGTTCTTAGGGTACCAAAAGCAGTTAACAAGATCTTGAAGCCAAACCGAAATGCATAAAGTGTATGATTGGCATCTCAAAACGAGGTTTTGAGCAAAAACAACACAAGGCTTTGGAAAGGTAATGGTTTAGCCTCTACTTGTTTAAAGTGGTCACGATACAAC